ATCAGGAATTGAACCATGACCTCCTCCTGGTTCATAAGTTGATGCTCAACCACTGAGCCACACTGGCTGGGCATGTTTTTGCATTTTTACTATACATGCATTCATAAATAGTACACATTGTTTTGCTTGCTTTTAAGCTTTACCAAAAGTGGTAATATAATTCTACAACTCACTGGTGTTCATCCATTTTATGTTTTTGGAATTGAACCTCACACATGCATTGATAGTCCATTCACTTTCACTGCACAGGACAGAGCATCCTCATTGTATACATATACACAATTTACTTATCCATGTCCTGTTATGGACACTTGGGTTGTTTATAACCTAGCACATGTAATGCTGTCACAAACATCCTCATGCCCATCTCCTTGCACCGCACATGTGTGAGCTTCTCTCTAGAGTTTATATTGGAAGGGGGAAGCTGGATCAAAGAGCACACATATCTTGATCTTTACTATACATTGCCAAATTTGTTTTCCCAAAGCCATTGTACCAATTTATACTTGTATGAGAGGTCCTGTTCCTCCACCTCATTCCTAATATTTATGCTCTCAGACATTTTCATATTTGTTGTTCTGATACCTGTAAAATAGCATCTCATATTACTTTGCATTTTTTTGCTTACCAGTGAGGTTGGTTCTCTTTACAAGTCTGATGGGTCCTCTTTTATAAATTGCCTGTTCATTCTGTTTATGGAATTGTTTGTCTGTTTCTTATTGATTATTAAGGATTATTTGCATATTGTGAACACCAGTCTTTTTTGGTAGTCTGCTGGCGTCACCCTACTTTTTGCTGTCATCTGACCTCCAGCTTATAACTCCTTATTTCTTGAAGATTTTAGCACTGGTTTATTTGCCTCTCTTCTTAGTACTAGGCCTGTCTTAATTATTAGAAATTTTAATATCCACAGAGATGATCTTCTTAGTTCCTGATCTCCTCAATCCAGTGATCCTTCTTCTCCCTCCACCAACCCACCCACTCCCAGATTCTTGCCTGAGACCAAGCTTTACCATTAACAGCATTCCCTGATGTACTGATGATAAGCATCCCACTCTTTCACTAAACTTGTACCACACTTCCTCCCATAGCCCGATTCAATCATTTCTCAATCATAATGGAATCTACTATCCATTGACCTGCCAATTTTTCATGTCCCCCCCCCCCCACATCCTCAGCTTCTATCTTACCTGGCTTAGAATCTACATTCCATCTTATAGTCACTTCTCTGTATGTGTAGTTGTTCCCTTGCTCTTCTCGTCTTCTCTTGAAGTTTTTGGGAAAAACCCCAACCCTACATAAGTATAACTCTCCATTAACTCCCAACAGCACATCAGCAAATGATATTTGCTAGAGAAAAAGTTGAAGTAGGGAAAATGGTACAACAATGGTGCTGTGACCTGCACGGCTGGGTTCAGGATCTGAAGGAGGGGCCGATGCACAAATGAAAACACTAGACAAGAAATATGAATTATTCAGGGGTGGGGGCCAGGTGGTGTCTCTTTCATGAAGAGCACACTGACTTCTGGCCAGTCCGCTTTTTATTTACTTGAATACCATCTGCCCTTTAGCAATGCATACAGGCATACCAAAGGTAAAGTTTGGTAAACAGTAAAAGGATTATCAGGTTAGGGAATTGCCTTGAGCCACCACTATCTGAACACTCAGTGCTTGGCGTCAGCCCTGCTAATGCCCAAGGTCCATCAGCCTTCCGTGTTCTTGGTGCACTCTCGTGACAGTATTGGCAAGCGGTGGCTTCCCGCACAATGGTAAAACAAGGGAATGATATTCTCTTGTGGACAACAATGGTAAAGGAACTTCCTTTAAACTCATGGACAGTAACCTTAGGAGTCTCTTTAGTGCTGTCCTCTTTCAATCCCGCTTCACTTCCCTAGTTGATTCACTTTCTTGTATTTTTATAGACCATTATTTCATAATGTCTCCTTTTTCCTCAAACTTGCAACCTCTCCCACTTTCTCATGGTTTGCTGATGATCTTGCTTCTGATTGTATAGAAACTATAGAAGCAATCTAAAAAATATTACTGACCCCTACATATGGATCCAGCTCTGTTTTTCCTTCTGTTATAGTGAATAAACTGTCAGTGCTCCTATGTAAAGCCAACATTTCCACTTTTTGCCCTGGGCCCCATTCCTTCTCACCTGGCAGTGTTTCTTGTGAGACTGTGGACAGGCCTGTAACTGGCCCCTTTGAATTTGCTTGTTCTCCCTCCCTCACTCTCTATTCTTCACTTTTGCTGCCTTGCCCTTCAATAAAGCATTAGAATATAAGCTTTGCCTGGAGTTCTGATTTCTACCACCAAGACACAACACTATAACTGGTGTGGGATTGGGGTTGGATTCTCTACATAATGACAAAGTAAAGATACAACACTCAGGGTCTATCCTGCTCAGCTCCATCTGTGATTTTCAGACCTCCAGAAGGGGCAGGTACCAGATGGCCAATGCTTTTGCACCCTCTAACCATATTAAAAGGGAAGCAGGGGGCGAAGATTACTAATCATGCTTTGTCTTAGATAAGCACAACCAAGTCAGTGTGTAAGGCTGGGGAGGAGAGGAGTGAGTTGCTTCCTTCTAAGCCAGAACTCCATGCCTCTAGAATTGACCAGAATGACCTCCTCTAGTCTGGATTATTCTCTCTGCATCACAGCAGTGAGCTGATGAATTAGGATTCTTTAGCTGGTGGATTTGGATGTGGCAGCATAAAGAGGCATAAATGGTCTCTTCTTGCTTTTGGCTCAACCTGGCCCTGACCAGCTGCTCCTCAAATCTGATTTGGAAAGAGGTTAAGGTGTAAAAACCTAAACAACTTTAGCCTTTCCTATCAATTCAATTCAACAAATATTTATCAAGTGACTGCTCTGTGATGACCAAGGCATCACACACAGTACCTCGGCCTATAGCAGGCAGACTATTGGTAAACAGTTATGACTGATGTGGCAGAGGAAATGAGGGAGACAGATCTGCAGGCTCTTGGAGCGATGACTGTAGCAGTATGACCCTCAGTGCATGAAACACCTGGAGAAACAAGAGGGAATCTGGGAAGGGCTAGGGAGCTTGCAGCTGCTGATTTTGTGTGCTCTCAACAAGAAGAACAAACAGAATCCTGGCTCCAGGGCCCTGTTGGCTGCCTCTCCCTGGTTATCCTGCAGACAGCTTAAACTCTGTTCAACTGAATTCACCTTCCTGCTCTAAACCCTCTTTTTCTCCTGCACTTATTATACCACTACCTCCCCTGTTAGACATCTAGGAGTGTAACAAAATGACCCCCGCTATAGTGTATGCTTATGACTTAAATGCTGAATTGTCATTTTTATTTTTTGCACAATGATGTGTCTGTCCTATGGGGCCATAGGTTCAGGCCATACCCCTCTCGTGTCACCGAAAGCAGATGGCCTTGGATATTCGCGTCAATTATTAGGGAGGCTCTGGGCCCTGTAAATGGGTGCCCCAGGGAGGACATAGGCAAGGGAGGAAACTCCTTTCTCTTTCTGTCTGTAAAGCTTCTTATTTCCCCTTCAATTTTGAATAATAGCCTTGCTGGATAGAGTATTCTTGGATTCAGTCCCTTGCTTTGCATCACTTTGTAAATTTCCTTCCATTCTTTTCTGGCCTGATGTGTTTCTGTTGAGAAATCATTTGATAATCTAATGGGAGATCCCTTGTATGTAACTTTCTGTCTCTCTCTTGCAGCCTTTAAGATTCTCTCTTTGGCCAGACAGGATAAAATTCACCTCGACAAGACACAACAAAAAGGGAACAAAGCATGAATGTACTCACAACAACAATAACCCCACTATAAGTGATCATCTGAGAAAAGAGAATTAGGGGAGAGAAAAGAGAGCATAAATGATATTGAAGAGAGAGAAAAAGATAAGAGAGAAAAGAAAAAGGAAGAAAAAGGAGAATATATATATGGGGGTGGGGGGCGTAAAACACCACAGAACCAATAGATAAAAAAAATACAAACACCAAACCCTCAGCAAAGAGGGTGGGGGCAGAATCTGTAGAGGCTGAGCTTGTAAACAGAAAATAAGGTTGAGAATTGGGTGAATATGGGGAGGATCTCAGTTCAGTATAGAGAAAGTAGAAAGGGGATGGGTGGGTAAGAGGAAAGAGAAAGAGAAGAAAATAATAATAATAAATTTACCAAAAAATTGATTTCAAAAATGGTATAAAAATAGCAAATAAAAATAAAATAAAATAGAGTGATGGAAGAATAATGTGAAAAGAAATAGAAAATAAAGCAACAAACAAAAACAGGAAAACAAAGAAACAAGAAGAAAAAAAAGGGGTAACAAAATAATAATAAAAAAAATAAAAATGAAAAAGTGAAGTGTTGTTCCTTTGGCTGGCTTAAGATCCCAGTTTTCTGTACTGTAATGTTTCTCAGGTTCCCATTGCTGGGACTGAAGGTCTCTCTTTAGGCCAGTCCCTTTGGACTCTCAGGGACTATTTAGGTTTTTTTTTTAAATCCTTTGTACCATTCAGGGTGGAATCTGAGTGTGGCTGTATTGATTGCCTGGCCACTGGAGGGGAGGGACTATCTCTTCAGGACAAAATGGCTGCCCAGATCGCGGGCTCAGGCATGACTCAGAACCAAACTCGCTGCCATTTCTCCTGGAACCCCCTTTCTCCCCAGATTCCACAAGTCCGCACCTTCTCCCACACTCCAGCCACGGGTAAGTGTCTGTATCCGAAAGGTCCTATGCACTAGGCTCAATGAAGAAAGGCACAGGCCACAGAGGCGGCAGAAGCTGCACCTCTGCCCACTCCTCTCCTGCCAGCACCCCTCTTCAGCCTTTCCTGACTGTGGACCCAGATCTAGAGTCCCCTGCGGTCCAGCAGTTCTGCGGACCTTCTTTCCACAGCCAGACACTGTGCCTGTCCCAGAGGACATGGCTCGGTGCCGTGCAGATTCCCTCTGACCCTCAAGGCTCAGAGGTCTGGCAGATTATCCTTCCCAGAGCCTTGATTTTACCTTTCTCCAGGGGTCCTCCGCCCTTCCCGGCTACAAACCGTCTCCCAGCTGAGTCTCCTTCACCAATTCGGGCTGGATGTTACTCGTTTCAGCTGCTCACCCTATCTGCTCCGGGACAAGGCTCAGGACACGTCCGTCTATACAGCCGCTATTTTGTCTCTCTCCTTTCTCTTTCTGGATCTTGCTCTTTGGGGCCTGAGCTTTAAAGAGTCAAGTGATGCCTGAGGGCATGAGCAGGCTGAGGGAAAGACAGCCTGTGCCACACCAGAATTTCGGAATGATGTGTGTATGTCAGATCCATATCTGAGACTTCCAGGCAGTTTGACAATTTGAGAAGTAAATAGAAGCTGACTAAATTATTAAACCACCACATTTGCCTAGACTTGATTTGCCCTAGGAACTCTGCTCATGGCATCCACGAGGTTCTTTACTAACACAGGGAGAGCCATGGGCTCTGATGGCATCCTTGTGTCTTTCACCCTTGATATGGCTATTTGGCTTAATTTGTTTGTACCAGATTGTCTGTCAATTTCGTATCATCCTCCTCTTTCTCCATCGTCCTCTGCACTGTACAGAGATCTGGAGCTTCGTTTCCCAGCACCACTTTCCTATATGGCTTTGGGTTAGAGCAGCCGTGGGCAAACTACGGCCCGAGGGCCGGATCCGGCCCGTTTGAAATGAATAAAACTAAAAAAAAAAAAAGACCGTACCCTTTTATGTAATGATGTTTACTTTGAATTTATATTAGTTCACACAAACACTCCATTCATGCTTTTGTTCCGGCCCTCTGGTCCAGTTTATGAACCCATTGTGGCCCTCGAGTCAAAAAGTTTGCCCACCCCTGGGTTAGAGTGTGCCAATTAAAGGTCTGATTTCATAAACTAGCAGCAGTTTCCATATTGCTTCCCCAACCCTCCCAATCACCATGTAAGCTGCTAATTTTCTTTCTCCTTGGAATGCAGAAGTGATTCTCTACCAAGAGAGCCCTGACTGGAGTTCGGGAGGATTGGAAGATGGTGCAGAGTAAGTGGATCTTTCTTCCACCTCCTCCCAGAATCTAATGGAAAATGAACTAAATTGGGGAATATTCACCCTGAAATACCAGCTGAAGACTGACTGAAGAGGAGATTTTTATTTATTTATTTTTATTTTTTATTTTTTCCTGAACAATATTTATTAAATTTATTGGAGTAAGAGAGAAAGGGGGGTGGGGGGAGGATCAGAAGAGCGTTTGGGGAGGGTAGAGAGAGTAAAGGGTATATAAATGGTGATGGAAGGAGACTTGAATCTGCATAGTGAATACACAATACAATATACAGATAATGTATTATAAAGTTGTACCCCTGAAAACTATATAATTTCAATAACCAATGTCACCCCTGAATAATTTTTAATAGGACTTCATTACACTACCAAAATTTTCTGTGTTTGAGCAATATATTTTGGGGGGGGGGTCATAAATTTTTTTAAATTTCTTTATTGATTAAGGTATTACATGTGTGTCCTTATCCCCCGCATTGTCCCCCCACCTCCCCACTCATGCCCTCACCCCCCTGTTGTCTGTGTCCATTGGTTAGGCTTATATGCATGCATACAAGTCCTTTGGTTGGTCTCTCCCCCTTATCCCCACCCTCCCCTACCTTCCCTCTGAGGTTTGACGGTCTGATCGATGCTTCTCTGTCTCAGGATCTGTTTTTGTTCATAAGTTTATGTTGTTCATTATATTCCATAAATGAGTGAGCTCATGTGATATTTATCTTTCTCTGATTGGCTTATTTCACTTAGCATAATGTTCTCCAGTTCCATCCATGCTGTTGCAAATGGTAAGAATTCCTTCTTTTTTTTTTTTTTTACCACAGCATAGTATTCTATTGTGTAGATGTACCACAGTTTTTTAATCCACTCGTCTGCTGATGGGCACTTAGGCTGTTTCCAGATCTTAGCTATGGTGAATTGTGCTGCTATGAACATAGGGGTGCATATATCCTTTCTGATTGGTGTTTCGAGTTTCTTGGGATATATTCCTAGAAGTGGGATCACTGGGTCAAATGGGAGTTCCATTTTTACTTTTCTGAGGAAACTCCATACTGTTCTCCACAGTGGCTGCACTAGTCTGCATTCCCACCAGCAGTGCACAAGGGTTCCTTTTTTCCCGCATCCTCACCAGCACTTGTCATTTGTTGATTTGTTGAAGATAGCCACTCTGACATGTGTGAGATGGTACTGCATTGTCCTTTTAATTTGCATCTCTTGGATAATTAGTGACTTTGAGCAAGTTTTCATATGTTTCTTGGCCTTAAGTTTGGAAGGTATTCAATTAAAAGTGTAGACATTGGTTCACCTTGGATGAAAGAGTTTTAAACTGAAGAATATACTGAATGTTATCTCAATTGATACCGACATATATCATCATAATGGAGGCATCTGATAGTGTTCCTATATTCACTATTAGCCCCAGTTTGAAGAGGTGGGCCAGCAGTACAGTATGAAAAGCTTAGCATCTCTCTGATGCTAAGGACAGAGAGAAAAGTAACTGTAATGAGGAAAGCTCTGAAACCTCTTTGGAAGGAAATGTGGCCTCATTTACCAAAATTTAAAATGTACCCACTCTATGACTCAAAATTTTCACTTATCAGAATTTGTCCTTCATAAACATTGTTTCCTTAATTTCCCCCCTGCTGTTTTAGATTTGAAGGAAATAAGCCTACAAGTATACTTTTTGATATAGCCACCCACAGATTGTTTTCTGTATACATTTATCAAAATGTAAATATTTTTATTCACATTATTGCTCTCCAAACAATATTCTTTTTTAGTGGATCAAATATGAAAGGCATTTATTTACTATTCACTTAAAATCCAAATGGATGTTCCTAATTGACAGGTGATTATTCTTCAAGTGAGGATTCTGGAACCCAGGCTTTTTCCATCTTTGAGTCCATCACCTTCAAACTCAGCTTCCTAGGTCAACATGCTCAATTACATCAACCGTCATCAAGGACCATGCGTGGGTTCAGCCTGGAGTGTTGCATATCAGTTTTGATTGTATTCTACTGACTAGAGCTCAGTTACATGAGCACACCTACCTGCAAGAAGGCTTAGAAAAAAAAAGTAGTTTTTGAAGAGGAAATGGACTGTTCTCTTTCACAATGTCATAACTTCCTGGTTGACCAGCATCTGTCTTGTTTGATCTGTATGTGGAGATAAGGAGTTTGTAAACAATGGAGGTAGGTAGTTCTGTGGATATCTGAGAATATGCTCATTCTGGATATAGTGGATGAGCTCTTTAAATTACAGTTTGGACAACAGGAATGGGAGACTATAGATCTAACAAAGTTTGAAGATAATGCTGCATCTCATGTCAAAAAACTTTTGTTAGCTTAGAAGTAATTTATTAAGGTTAGGAGAGGCAACTCTGGAGGGAACGATGCTGTGTTAGTCTGGAATATGTGTTTGTGTGTGAGGGTACATATGAGTGTGTGCACATATGAGTGTGTGCACATTCATGTAGTTTTAATCTCCAAAATGACAATCACTAGAGATGAAACATACTCGAGTCTGTATGATGCATGTTAATTGCCTTCATGCTCCTGGGGTTGAGGTCTCCAGAGACAGGCTTCAGAGTCTGGAAGGGACAAGTAATGGGGAATGGACAGATTTGTGGCACGTTCTATTCTCTGAGTAAAACCTGAAAGGGATCCATGTGAAGAAAGGAACCCAAAGGTGTTTTACCAAGTAGCTGACATCTCAGACTCATGGGCTGCCTTAGGATAAGTGGGTATGGGCAAGATGGAACAGTAACTTCTTTCCTATATCTGAATGTCCATTCTGTTTTATAGATCTACTAGAGGCCCGGTGCACGAATTCGTGCATGGGTGGGGTCCCTCAGCCTGGCTGGCGATCGGGGCTGTCTTGCCCAGTCCCAATCAGGGCTGATTGGGTTGGCCGGCTGGGGGAAGGGACTGTGGGAAGTTGGCCGGCCATGGGAGGTTGGCTGTGGGAGCGCACTGACTACCAGGGGGCAGCTTCTGCATTGAGCGTCTGCCCCCTGGTGGTCAGTGCACATCATAGCTATTGTCCGGTCGCTCGGTTGTCCAGTTGTAATGGTTGCTTAGGCTTTTACATATGTAGATATGAAAAAGAAGCATAAATTTTCTTGATTATTTTCCTTTGCAAACACTATTCTGATTATATAAACCTTATTAGACATGTGATTAAGGAAATATTTTTTGTCAAAGCATCATTTTGTTATTGCAGGTCATCTGCAAAAGAATTGCATTCTTAGCTGACAAGAAAATGGGAAATTTTTCTTTAAGACGTTGGCAATAATTTATATGACTCTCTTGTTTACTGCTCTCTTTAACACAGATGACAGCATAGCAAATCAACACCCATTGTATGTGACTTAAAGGAGAGAAAAACTTTGTAAGTAGAAGCTAATTTATTTAATGAGCTATAATACTCAGATTATAGCTCTGAGTATTATAATACTCCTGGGGACTGGGGAACCCAGTGGGGAATCCAGTGGGATCTGAGAGATACCCAGAGCAACAACAGGAGTTGACCTGTGGAAACAGGAAGGCTTTGAGTGGGACTATTGTGCTGGAGTGAGTGGCTCTCTCCTGTGAGTCATCCCAGGTGAGAGGACAATCAGAAGGGAGCTCAAGAGTATTAATGTGGCAAATGGAAAGTGAGGCCTCTTTATTTTGTGTCTTTCTCCTCTGCTCCTTGAGCAGCACTTAACTGCCTCTGCTGATTTTAAAGACCAAGAGATTAGGTTTCTATACATTTTTTGAATCCATCCCTGGTATATTTTGCTTACACATTACCCTAGGTCAGCATTCAATAAACAATTTTACTTGGACCATTGAAATAGCTTTCTAATAGCTTCCTGCTAGTTTCATTGCCCTGTAATTGTCTGGCAAATTGTCTTTCAAATGCAGTTTCCATAAACCTAGATCGTTTTACTCTTATACTAGAACAGCTGCAGGTGTTTTTCATTGACTAGAAAATTAAGTCTGAACTAGTCAGACTGGCAGTGAATCCTCTGTCATGTGGGTCCCACATTTTTTTCGGGGGGGGGGAGCCTTTGAAACATCTCAAGTGCTGACCTCAAGTGAGGCCAAGCAAAGCAACTGTCCACTTTTATTCATCATGCCCCCTGAAGAAGACAATGTGCTA